GGGGTCAAAAATCACTCATTTAGACATCATGTCTATAAAGGTTTAAAATCAGCAGTCAGATACTATGTCTATAAGGGTTTAAAATCAGTAATTTTAGATATCATGTTCATAGGAATAAAATCAGCAATAATAGATACTCTCGTTTGCAGGTTCTAAAACTAGTCTAATTTTAAATTCGTCTACTCTGAACCAGTTTTTTTAAGTAACTTAATCTCTTCTTCTTAACACGATCTAGCAGGCATGCCTATAGGATTTCAAACCATTCGTTTAAGTTGTTACTACTTGGGCCACATTTAGAATCAGTAATAGATACCATGTTCCCAGGAGCTCCCCTAAACACTTAGGCAAGCCTTAGGTAATAATAACAATAATAAAACTGAACTCGCCTCCGTTAATCGTTAAGTGCTACAACTAGCAGGCATGCCTGATTCGTGTTTCCTAACTGAGTCATGTAATAAACCAGGCCTGCCGCAACAACAATGATCTCCTTCCCTCAAGTTTTTTTTAGAATCAGACATTACTTGTGTTTGAGTCATGCTATTGGATTACTTTGTTTGAGGGGGTATATCTGAGCCTTCAGTGTTTACGTGCTTCCCCTTTAATGTGCAGTTTTTATATGTTTTGTATGTCGCCATAGATTTTTTTCACCTTTGAAACTCCAAGTCAGCCAATATCCCTCCCTTTAAGAATAGTAGTCCTAAGTGCCTCCGGGACTGATAGGAATGGGGCAGGTAATAGCATGCAATAGTGGTCGAGACCAATCCGCGCTTTAGTACCTTAAACAGGGTGGGAAAGGGTAGACCCGTGCGCTAATACCACGTGTAGCCCCTCTTTTGAGGAGTGATTACCGGGTATTGCATTGATGTGATCCATATTATAAATAAACCTAGGACCTCATTCCCTTATTTCCTTTTCCTTTTAAAGCATTATAACTCCTTCTTTTCAAAATCAGCCGTTTTATTGCTCTTTCAAACTTTTTTTACTTTCAAACAGTTGTTTATTAAAATCCCCTCTTATTTGAGCCTTATCTGTCTATATGTCAATTGTACCAAATTCACAAAGTACTATCTGGCCGGGAACCACACTAGTGGATCTTGAGGGGTGCCTAACAGCTTCCACTTAGGATAATTTCAAGCCCTTACCCTATCTCTGGTTATCAAGCAGAAACTTAGAAATAAACCTTGAAGGTGTCCTAATGCACCATAAATCATTAGGTGGCGACTCTTCAATGCAAAACCCAATTCCCAAAAGGAATGAGTTGTCTTATACCCAAAATGTCATTAACCCGATTCTCCGGACGCGAGGAGGGAAAAAAGGGGGCGCGACAATTATAAGGTGTAAGAAAGACAGGCCAACATGAATATGGTATCACAGATACAGAAAAAGGCGTGAAGTCATCCGCACACAGACCTAACCGAATGTTCCTTGGTTCACTAGCAAAATCTGGATATGTCCTATCAAAGTGCTTCCAAGCTTCTCCATCTGAAGGATGACACATAACACCAGGTGGTCTTCTATTTTCAAAGTGTCATCTCATATGAGGAGCAGAACTCATCGACGCATATAACCTCTTTAACCTAGGTATAAGAGGTAAATAATGCATCGCCTTGCTAGCGACCATTTTCCCGCTGGAAAGCCTCTTGAAACGAGGCTTTTTGCAAAATTTACAACTGTCTAAAGTTGCATCATCTTTATAATATAACATGCAACCATCTTCACAACAATCAATTCTCATTGACGAAAGTCCTAACTTAGAAACCAATCTCTTTGCCTTATAGAAATCACCAGGTAATTTGATATTAGGGTCAACTAGTTCACTCATAAGGTCAATGAAAGAGTCCATGGATGCTAGAAAAATATTCCAATCATATTTGATACTTAGTAATCTAACTGCAACGGACAGCTCGGAGTGCGGACTTCCTTTACGTAGTGGACGACTAGCTTCCTCTAACTGTTTACAAAAACGTTTTGCGTCATCATTAGGAGTTTTTTCAACATTTTCATTGGGCTCACCCCCGAAGTGCATCCCAAAAGCATCCGTAATCATATCATGAATTCTAGAATCACGATTTGTATTCTCCACCGACCTACTACTTTTACCAACAACCATGTTATGAAATATCCCACGGCTACCATCGATCTCTCCATGATTAGTCCACACAAAGTAATTCTCTATAAATCCCTTCCTATAAAGATGATGCTTAACTTCCTCTGGTTTTCCAAACTTCATACAGTCGCACCTAACACAAGGGAACCTAATTACTCCTTCACTTTGGTATGGTGGAAGTGACATTGCATGTCTAATAAAGTCATCAACCCCTTCTACAAAATCCTCCCGCAATCCCCGCCGATTAAAATAATTCCTATTGTACATCCAAGTACGATGTTCCATCTATACAAATAAAACAATAACAAATTAATTTAGTTAATTCATATCATAATCTTTTTTTAGTTAATTCATATCCTAAAAGTTCCAATTCATATCCTAAAAGTTCAATTCATATCCTAAAATTTCAATTTATAAACTAAAAGTTCAACTACTACTACTAAACCCTAGATTCTAACTAAACTATTCAAGACTGTACAAAGTATAATCCAAATCTTACTAAATTATTCAAGACTAATTAAACTAATTAGTTAATACAATTAATAAACAAAACTAATTAAAACAAGACCTAAACCCTAATCATCAATAATATACAATGTTCAAAGAATTGAAACAATAAAATACAATGTTCAAATAATTGAAACAAAAACTAGAAATAACAAAGAGATGGGTTGTAATTCAAACCTTGATAGGGTTTAGGAGAGGGGCGGAGCAGTGGCAGCGGCAGCGGCAGCGGCAGCTCCGGCGACGGGGACGGGGACGGATTGATAGACTTGCGAAGATCCTAATTAGTATATATAATTTATCATCAAATATATCTGTTTGTAAATTGATTCATCGACTTAAAACTTACTCAGATGCATCGTTGAATATTAAAAATAAAACGTCTCACCTATATCTATCTATCTATCTATCTATATATATATATATAGATAAGGGTCAGGTTCTTTTAGGGATTGATAAACTTGTGAAGATCCTAATTAGTATATATAATTTATCATCAAATATATATGTTTGTAAATTGATTTATCGACTTATAACTTACTCAGATGCATCGTTGAATATTAAAAACAAAACGTCTCACCTATATATATATAATATATATATATATATATATATATATATATAATATTATATATATATATATATAGAGAGAGAGAGAGAGAGAAGAGAGAGGAGAGAGAGAGAGAGAGAGAGATAAGGGTCGGGTTCTTTTTAGGGATTGATAGACTTGTGAAGATCCTAATTAGTAATATAATTTATCATCAAATATATCTGTTTGTAATAATTCATCGACTTATAACTTACTCAGATGCATCATTGACTATTAAAAATAAAACGTCTCACCTATATATATATATATATAATATATATATATATATATATATATATATATATATATATAATATATATATTATATATAACACGCTTCGTTGTACTACTTTAACTACATATATATAAGGGTCGGGTTCTTTTAGGGATTGATAGACTTGTGAAGATCCTAATTAGTATATATAATTTATCATCAAATATATCTGTTTGTAAATTGATTCATCGACTTATAACTTACTCAGATGCATCGTTGAGTATTAAAAAAAAAGTATATAATATATATATATATATATATATATATATATATATATATATATATAACACGCTTCGTTGTACTACTTTAACTACATATATAGCAAGTTATAGCATATGTTAGTGTATTCATCCCTTGTATTACAAAAGTGTTAACGGATTATATTTATATTATTTAGATAGCAAATATAAAAGTGATTTAAATTTTGACCAACGTTGACCAAATAACCGACCAAAGTTGGTCGATTACTTTCCAGATATTAAAAAAAACGACCAAAGTTGGTCGGTAAATGTTTTCCCTGTATTAACCGACTAACTTTGATCGGTAATTTTAAATAAGATTTCTTTATATTTTATAAAATATTTTAAATAATAATATAACTATTAAAAATTTTAAACTGGATCCCACATTACCGACCAAAGCAGGTCGGTAATGTGAAATTTTCTTTGACTACACAATGTTGATTATCTGGGTCAACCTGTTGACCACTTTACCGACCAACTTTGGTCGGTAATTTATAAAATATTTTTCTCCCCTTTACCGACCAACGTTGGTCGCTAATCTGGACAGACCAACTTTGGTCGCTAAATTTTGAATTTCTAGTAGTGACCGTTCCTTCAATTTTCTAGATTGATTTTCAGATTTGTCAATTTATTTTCTTCCTGATAATTATTTTTTGTAATTACTTTGGTTGAGGTTTAAGCAACTTAGTTGGGTTCAATGGTGTGGTTACGAAGTCATAGAGAATACGAAATACTTAATGAGAGTGGGGATGAGTGGTGAAAGAAAGCAAGTTATAAAGAAAGGGTGTTTGTAATTTTAAAAAAGGAGGAGAGTGAGGGGGCGGTTTTTTTTTTTCCTTTTTCTCTTTATTTTCGGTCTTACGTGCCTATTTCTTTAATATAATTAAATTTTTTAGTGATACTAATTCTATCTTGAACAAAAATAAGAAAAATAAGAGAATACAAGGATGCCGCTAAATTAGAGTGTATAATTGAGTTTTTGGGACATATTCGGGGTAACTTATATTTTCCCTAATTAATAACATGCAATTATATTGTTGTTCGCAAAAATAACACACATCATCATTTAGTTGGCCTCGTTAGCAATGTTCCAGTTTTGGCTAGTACAATTTGAGCGTATGAAATATCTCAACTTTCAAGTATTACTTACGTCCTCACCTATTACCGGTGGAAATTTATTGAACGCATTATTGATACTTGAGCAAACTATTCAAATTATCAGATTTGCTGTAGGGTCTCCCTTGCATTCAATAAGATTAATATTCTTGTGATATGAAACAAAAGAGGCATATAACGTCACACCCAAAAAAGCAAATTAATATCTCTAAAGACAGCCAACTTTAGTTCTGGCTAGTTACTAATCAAGTTGCTACACATACTAACAAATCAAGTCCTTGCAAATAAGTACTAAACATGAACATTACACAATATTCTACAGCCAAACCTATATAAACATATTATAGACATATGTTTATATTTAATATTTATATAAAAGACTGCTCTCTCCTTCCACTCAATTACCCATATTCTTTAATTAATCATAATAAGGAGATTAGCTAGCTACAATACTTAAAAGAGTGGTATACTTAAGGTATGCCAATGATGGGAAAGAAAGGGATATAATAGCTAGTTGGTGCAAGTCCCCACTCCTTTGGAACTGGTAGATCAATTGTCTTTGATGAACCAAACTTAGAGTATCTTGTGTAGAAATTTAAGGGCTTAGAGATAGTGTAGGAATTATCATCTTCTTGAGACTTGACAACTATTGGGTCTGTGTCTTTTTTTGAAACAAATAGCTGCTTAGGACCTCCAAGAATTTTGGCATAGCAAATGTTTGCAGCTGTTGATGTTGGACTAGTGTCAGAAGGAAGGTTTGACACAAAAGAGCCATCTTCTTCTGTTGTAGCCGTGGCCAGTGTTTTCACCTGGTTACACTTCACTGAAACCTTAATTCCTGGGCAATTTTGAAAAGTATGGTGAAAAGATGATAAAAATTAAAATTTCCAAAACATAATTGCTTCTCTTTGATTAACTAAAAACAGTATTGTTTTCTTGCTCAAAATGTACTCCCTCCGGTCCATAATAAGTGACTTTTTGTCCTTTAAGAAAATACTGACTCGTAGAAAGAAAAAGTTACTTTGATTAAATAATCCTTAACTAAAATTTGCATATTGTTAACTTGACAGATGGATATGTAAATAAAGGCAAATTTAATAAAAATAAATTAACTCCCGCTTGATCATATAAAAGAACACTTATTTTGAATCAAAATAAAGAAGCTAAAATATCACTTATTATGGACCCAAGGGAGTATTATAATTTATCGGAATGGCAGTAGTTAATATTGCGTCGCATAACCAGCTCCAAAACATGTTTTTTTTCTCTTTAGAACAGCTGCAAACAACTGCTATGCCAAGACTTTGACAAAATATTTGTCCAGCGTTGAATTACTTTCATCTTAAAGTGGAAAAATGACTTGTACTCATTCTCCTATACAAATATCTCAACTACTCTTATTCTAACCAACACTTACCAGCAAAGATAATCCCAAAAAAGGATTAAATATTTCCTTAAACACAAATAAACAGCAATCTTTAAAGGATGAAAAGATAACTGCAAATTAACATCAATAGGCTAGGCTGTAACGAATAGGAAAAGGAATTAAACCTGAGAGATCAGAATGCTGGTTGCAGTCTAGGCAAGTGACAGAAGCTTTCAAGACATGGCAAGAAGAAAACTGAAGTGTGGCAACAGCCAAAGTGATGAATAGTACTGCGAATCCAAGCTGATAATAAGATGGTGCCATTATATTGAAGCTAGCTAGATAGTATAAACTGTAATGGAACTAGGGATTAGTTGACAATAAAAATGAGGATGCAAAAACATTTCTATAAATAGAGTAGCAACTAGTCCATGAGAAACAGTAAATGAAAGGGTCCCCAAATTAAAGCCTGAGTTGGTAGTTGGAATCACTTAACAAGCTAGTGCAGCCTCATAAATTCTCTTTATGACTAGTCTTTAATTTGGGAACTCAAACCGAAGTACACTACATTTCCTCTACTTTCAAATTACTGTCTTTTATGGGTTTTGCACATGGTTTGAGAGATACACCTAATATAATAGTAATAAGCTTAATCACAAAAGCTTTTACCTAACTACCGTGCCTTTATGTCTCTTAAACCTCTCACTTACTTAATAATAATCCATTAATTGGAGTAGTACAATTATGAATTTGAAAAGAAAAAAAAATAAAAGTTACAAATGCTCCTTGTTTTCTTATAGATTTTGAAACATGAATAATTTACGAAGCAGGAATTGCTTTGACGATGTAAATACTCTAGTATCATGGAGAATTTGATGCCATTGAAGCTTACTAGCTAGTTCAGATTTTAATGGATCCGTAGTATAACGATAAAAAACTTCTCGTACCATGTGTTTAATCCAACCAATAGATGTATGATACATGTTTATACATTGTCTTCTATCACTTAACCATAGTTCATTAATCAATATTTTGATCTCATTAAATCACTTGAGCATAATAATTAAGGTGGTTTCGTATAAACACCCGGAACAAGTAAATTTTTAATTACCATTATGTAGTCATGGCATTGTGCGAACACCATGTAGCACTAGGGTACATTTATCTCTAGTAGGTAAAGATAATCCGTTTCCACTCCATAAAACAGGAGAGAGAGAGAATGTGTTGATACGGTCTTATGGGACAAAACTTTTAGCACATTTAGTGCTAACATAATCAGTTTTATATTCCCTACGAATTGTGGGACAAAACACAAACAAGAAACTAGCAAAAAGATCATGGATATGTGGGTACACATGCTATATGTTGTTTGAAAAAGAGAAGATGCCGAAAACGGGAAAATTTAGTCATCACATGAACATAATAGCTTAAATTTCATGGATGCATGCTTCATTATTTGTTGTTTGAAGTCTCCGGCTTATGATAGACTGCAGGTGGATAAATTCCCAATTCAACCACATATAGGTGGTTGTTCTTGAACCTCTGTAATTAATTAGAGGGGAGTTAATTAGAACTTTATTTCATATCTGCAGATACGTACAATGAAATCTTGTATATACACATGGCAGTAGGTCTTTCTTTCCTCATCAACAGGACGCATTTACTCCGACGCCATACCAATTTTCTAAAAGGACATTTATCTATACTGCTTTTCATCAGCTAGAGATCAGCTCATTAATGCTTGAATAGTGGCGGATGGATCGGGTTAATTTCACTGGCGGCCATCCAACTAAGTGTCTATTTCACAAAAGTAACTATTCTATTCTTTATCACTTAAAAGTCATTCGACTTCTACTTTCTCACATAAAAGTCATTCTAACTCAAAACCTATAAAATATCCTTGTTTCTCTAAAATTCGGATAACAATTAAACTTATAAGTGGTTTTAAGGATATGTAATTTCACCTAGCACCAGTTGATAAATATGATGATTGATAGTAGAAATAAACAACAAAATAAAGAAAACTAGTATAGAAATGCAATTCAGCCCTCGAGCTAGGTCACCCTCGAACTGAGTGAGCAAGAGTAAAGTTATGGAATAAACTGATGAACAAGAATGAGAGGAAAAAAGTATTGTATTGCTCTGATATGCGTGAATCTAAAATGGTTACAAAATAATTAGATCCCTCTTTATATAGTAGAGGAATCCTATCTATGGTACAATCCTTATTACAGAAGTAAATCTCATGATTAGCTAACCAACCGCCCTTGATTTGATGTTGTTCTGAGATCGAATAATGTTTGACGAACTACCTGGATCAATCAACACATGTTTAACTTGAATTTTATTCATAAGGATAGATATTACCAGTGCTTCGTTGTGAGGTTGTTCGATCCCTTCTGCATCCTCATCGTTGATAGACAAGGTTTCTTCCGATAAGTAGTCCCGAGTTTGCTTTTCCCGTGTGATTGTCACCTTGGTGCTTTTAAATACCGGTCCTTGAGGAATATCGACCCCTCCAACGATCATGTGAATCACGTGTTGTGGCTCTTTCTACTAATTCTATTTGTTCGAATCCCTATTTTTGAAGTGGTTCTTGGCCCGATCACTTAAGAATTCTCGAAGGTTACCCTCGTTGAACAATTGGGCTACTTCCTCCCTTAGCTGCATACAATCTTCTGTTTTATGGCCATGGGTATCATGGTACTTGCATATTCGGTTTGGATTTCTCTAGGCCGGATCGGTCTGCATCGGTCGAGGCCACCTGGTCTCTTTGAAACGTCCGATGGCTGATACTATGGCGGAAGCATCCACCTTGAAGTTATATTCCGATAAGCGGGGTGCTTCTTTGGTCCCTAGATCCCTATCGAAACCACTTTTGCTCACGAGCCCTCAGTAACTCTGCCCCCGATCATTTCTTCTATCATTCCGAATGGAGTTGCGCCCGGGCCCATTATTTCTGTGATCTCCACCATATGGCTGATATCGATCTCTGTTCGACTGCGGTTCCCGGTCGACGTCCCTTTAAACTCTGTTCATAGACCAGTTAGGATAAATCGACCCAATTGGAGCCCCCAGTTGATCACTCTCGACCCTGATCTTTCATTGATATCGATTTTGTACATCGGCCCAAGTGACAGCTGGATAATCGATCAAATTCTATTTCAACTGTTGAAGCTACGGAACTTCGAGCTTTGAGACCTTGAGTAAAAGCTTGAACAGCCCAATCGTCGGTGACTGGTGGCAAATCCATTTTCTCCATTTGGAATCGGGATACGAACTCCCTGAGCATTTCTTTGTCTTTCTGTCTTACCTTGAAGAGGTCGGACTTTCTGGTAGTGACCTTAATGGCTCCGGCGCGTGCCTTTATGAAAGCATTTACAAGCATAGCAAATGAATCAATAGAGTTAGGTGGTAAGTTATGGTACCATATCATAGCACCCTTCGATAGAGTCTCCCCGAATTTCTTCGGCAACACGGATTCGATCTCGGTATCTTCCAAGCCATTTCCCTCAATGGCGCAAGTATATGAGGTGACTTGTTCATTTGGATCCGTCGTTGCGTTATACTTCGGAATCTCGGGCATACGGAACTTCTTTGGGATTGGCTTCAGAGCCGCACTCGGGGGGAAAGGCTTTTGGAATAACTTTTTGAAATCAAGTCCTTTCAACACTGTTGGTGCCCTTGGGATTTGATCGACCCTAGAGTTGTAAGTCTCCAATTTCTTATCATTTTCATCGATCTTCTTTTCCCCTGTCTCGATTCGCTTAGTCAATTCCTCAAGCATTTTTACGATAGCAGAATTTGTCTCCGATTCTCCTCCATTCGATCTCTTCGCTACTGATTCGGCTCTATGAACAATTTCTTGTGATGGATCAAGCTCGATCCTACTTGGTACGCGGTTCTGGTTTTGGAGTTGCGCTATCGCGGCTTGCTGGGTCTGCAATATTTTGAATATCATTCCAAGATTAATCCGGCCATCTTCACCGCCCTGTGCATTCTGATCGGGTGTTCGATCCTACAGACGCTATTTTCAGGATCGATGCCCAAATTTCTATTAATGGCAATGTGAGAACTGACGTCAATTGGATCCACGACCGGAACTCCATCGGGGTTGACCGGAGGTACTCAGTTCCCTGGGGCGGCTATGTTATCGTTCCCGTCATAGAGACCATGTCCATCGTTTGTGTGTGTGGGCGCTACTTGAGAGTTTGACATGTTGATCCTGGAATCAAAGACACTTCAAAGAACAAGCGTAAAATTATGTGTGTTACGAAAATTGCACCAGGCAGTCACTATTATCCTTAGCCCCACGGTGAGCGCCAAACTGTTTTCCCTAAAATTAAACTTATAAGCGGTTTTAAGGATATGTAATTTCACCTAGCACCAGTTCATAAATATGATGATTGATAGTAAAAATAAATAACAAAATAAAGCTAATCAATATAGAAATGCAATTCAGCCCTCGAGCTTGGTCACCCTCGAACTGAGTGAGCAAGAGTAAAGTTATGGAATAAATTGATGAACAAGAATGAGAGGAAAAAAGTATTGTATTACTCTGATATGCGTGACTGTAAGATGGTTACAAAATGGTTTGATCCCTCTTTATATAGTAGAGGAATCATATCTATGGTACAATCCTAATTACAGAAGTAAATCCCATGATTAGCTAAACAACCGCCCTTGATTTGATCTGTTCCGAGATTTCTACCGTGATCTTCGACTAGTCACGGATATCTCGCCTTTCCATTATTATACTATCTTCGGTCTTGCTCGATGTCTTCCCCGTTCGACCTCGATCGATACTGGTTTGGATCTTGCTAGCTACCCCGAACAACTTGGTACCTTATCCTCGTACCTCGATCTGCCAAGCCATGGGACCGATCCTCGATCCATCCTCCTAGTCTTAGTTAATTAGTGAAATCGGGTGGGCCCAGTTTTGACCGTATACAGATAGTCCCCTCATTTTTGGGAATGCAATGACAAGAAACGTATTGAGTTTCCAAACCGGATCTTGGTTTACCATGACGTAAGCACTGTGACGCACGTGGTAGAGGTGACCAAAACGTCCCATCGATTCAATTTCCCAAGCACTTAAGGTGCATCAGTTGCTGGTCGGCGACTAGAAACTCTGAACCGTCGCCGTGAAACCCATAAATAGGCCTCTTTTCCACTTTTTTAAACTTCACCTTTAATCTCTTCTGCTCTAATCTTCAAAGATCTTTGCATTTTTCAAGTTCTTCCGCAAATCATCAAGTTTCATCTCTAGCCTCTTCTTAAAACGCCAGATATCCTAATCCCGGTTTTTCCTAGTTCTTAAAAATGGATAAGACCTCCAAAACTGTCCCTCGCAAAGAAACCGCCTATTCATCAAAGTTCGCCGG